CCCGTGGTGCCTCTGACGTATGGGAGTATTACTGCCTTAATCTTCTCTTTCTCTGTCTCTGGCGTCGTGTTGTTGCTCTGGCCGGATTCCTTGTTGGTCAGCTTCTTGATGGAACGGTTGATGTTTCTGCTGCTGTATCCGTTCCTGGTCAGGGTTCGGTGAAGGTGGTTTAGCTCTCCGTTCAGGGCGGCTGGTTCCGAGATGGAGAGTGCTCTGTGGACTAGAGAGCTGATTACCGAATTCTTTTGGGCGGGGTGATGGTGGGAGTTTGCGTGGAAGTATCGGTCCGTGTGTGTTGGTTTGCGGTAGACGTTGTGGCTTAGGGTGCCGTCTTCGTTCCTACGGACCAGGACATCCAGGAAGGGGATTTGGGAATTCTGTTCGGTCTCCATTGTGAATTGGATGTTGGGATGTTGGGAGTTAATGAAAGTGAGGAAATGAGGTAGAGTTTCCCTTCCGTGGTTCCAGATGACGAAGGTGTCGTCCACGTACCGGAACCATGTGGAGGGTTTAAGTGGGGCCTTCTTCAGGATTTCATTCTCGAAGTGTTCCATAAAGATGTTTGCGATAATGGGTGATATCGGGGATCCCATTGCTGTTCCCGTGGTTTGTTCGTAGAATTCTCCTTCGCACCGGAAATAGGTGGAGTTGAGGCAGTGTTCTATTAATGGGAACAGGGTGGATGGAATCTCTTTGGAGGTTCTGATGATGTCCACAGTGTCTTGGACTGGGACGTTGGTGAACAGGGAAACCACGTCGAAGCTTACCAGGATGTCGTTGGGCTTGGTTTTTATCTTGGTTATTCTGTTCACGAAGTCCATTGAGTTCCTGATGTGGGAGTCGTTGAGGCCGGTAAGTTTTTGGAGGGGTTTGGTGAGGTAGCGGGCTAGTTGGTAGGTGGGGCCCCCGATGTTGCTGACGATAGGCCGTAGGGGGACTGATTCTTTGTGGATCTTCGGGAGGCCATATAGTCTGGGTGCTGAGCTGTCGCTGGAGGTCAGGTATTTCGTGGTTAGCGGAGGGAGGTTCGCCTTTTTGATCAGGGAGGTTTTCTTCTCTACGCTAGTGGTTGGATCGCGTTTTAGTTTTTTGTAGACTTGGGCGTCGGACAGTAAGGTGTTGACTTTGTTGTGGTAGTCTTTTTTGTCCATCACCACTGTTGTGTTGCCTTTGTCCGCCGGTAGGATGAGGATGTCGTCATTCTGTTTTAGGCTTCGAAGCGCTAGTCGTTCTTCCCTGTTAATGTTCTGGATGGGAAGTTTGGC